GTACATTTCTCTCATGGTCGTGGTACATTTCTCTCATGGTCGTGATACATTTCTCTCATGGGCCTGATACATTTCTCTCATGGTAGTGTTACATTTATTTATTTTTTTATTTATTTAGGCATTTTTATATAGCGCTTACCTTAAAGCTCTAAGCGCTTTACAATTATTAAAACATGTAAACAAAGTAAATAAAAATGAGACACTAGGATATTAACTATTATACTATAGAAACAATTAAAATGGCTATAAAACGAGGACACTTTGACACTTCAGTATCAACCCGAAACAGAAAATGAGGTAGGGCAAGGAGGGTGCATCAGAGCTCATAGGCGGACCTAAACAGATGAGTTTTAAGGGAAATTTCTCTCTTGGTCGTGGTACATTTCTCTCTTGGTCGTGGTACATTTCTCTCTTGGTCGTGGTACATTTCTCTCTTGGACGTTGTACATTTCTCTCTTGGTCGTGTTACATTTCTCTCTTGGTCGTGGTACATTTCTCTCATGGGCCTGATACATTTCTCTCATGGTCGTGATACATGTGTCTCGTGGTCGTGATACATTTCTCCCTTGGTCGTGGTACATGTCTCTCGTGGTCGTGGTACATTTCTCTCTTTGTCGTGGTACATTTCTCTCTTGGTCGTGGTACATTTCTCGCTTGGTCGCGGTACATTTCTCTCTTGGTCGTGGTACATTTCTCTCATGGTCGTGGTACATTTTTCTCTTGGTCGTGGTACATTTCTCTCATGGTCGTGGTACATTTCTCTCTTGGTCATGTTACATTTCTCTCTTGGTCGTGGTACATTTCTCTCTTGGTCGTGGTACATTTCTCTCTTGGTAGTGGTATATTTCTCTCATGGTCGTGGTGCATTTCTCTCATGGTCGTGGTGCATTTCTCTCATGGTCGTGTTACATTTCTCTCTTGGTCGTGTTACATTTCTCTCTTGGTCGTGGTACATTTCTCTCTTGGTCGTGGTACATTTCTCTCTTGGTCGTGGTACATTTCTCTCATGGTCGTGGTGCATTTCTCTCATGGTCGTGTTACATTTCTCTCTTGGTCATGTTACATTTCTCTCTTGGTCGTGGTACATTTCTCTCTTGGTCGTGGTACATTTCTCTCATGGTCGTGGTGCATTTCTCTCATGGTCATGGTACATTTCTCTCATGGTCGTGTTACATTTCTCTCATGGGCCTGATATATTTCTCTCATGGTCGTGTTACATTTCTCTCATGGTCGTGGTACATTTCTCTCTTTGTCGTGGTACATTTCTCCCTTGGTCGTGGTACATTTCTCTCATGAGCCTGGTACATTTCTCTCTTTGTCGTGGTACATTTCTCTCATGGTCGTGTTACATTTCTCTCTTGGTCGTGTTACATTTCTCTCTTGGTCATGTTACATTTCTCTCATGGTCGTGGTACATTTCTCTCATGGTCGTGGTACATTTCTCTCATGGTCGTGGTGCATTTCTCTCATGGTCGTGGTGCATTTCTCTCATGGTCGTGTTACATTTCTCTCTTGGTCATGTTACATTTCTCTCTTGGTCGTGGTACATTTCTCTCATGGTCGTGTTACATTTCTCTCTTGGTCGTGTTACATTTCTCTCTTGGTCGTGTTACATTTCTCTCATGGTCGTGGTACATTTTTCTCTTGGTCTTGGTACATTTCTCTTATGGTCGTGTGACATTTCTCCCTTTGTTTTTTTTACATTTCTCTCTAGGGCGTTCGTGGTACATTCCTCTCTGTTTTTTAAAGCATTTTTTTTTCACGGTCGTGGTACACTTCTCTCATGGTCGTTGTACATTTCTCTCTATATTTTTAAAAACACATCTCTCATGGACGTAGTTTTTCTCAACTAATTATAATAGTGTTGGAGAGCTATAAAGCTTTCAAGTAGATTAATTACACAAACAATTTGTGTGAATTAAACAAAATGGGTTCACCTTTAATAATGTTTATACAGAATACAAATGTAAACCTACATTTGAGAGAAAAGAATAAGAACGGGCGCAAGTCCCTGACAAAACAAAGTTCATAAGGACGAGAAGGAAGTGGGTAAGTGGACTTAAAATTTAAAAAAAAAAAACAATCAGGAAAAAGACATGGCAGGAATGTAAAATTGTGAATAAGGTTTTCTTATGGTCGCGGTAACACTTTCTCTTTTGTTCTAGTTGCGCTTCACGTGATTTCCCTTAATTTCCTTTAATTTCCCTTAATTTCCTTTAATTTCCCTTAATTTCCTTTAATTTCCTTTAATTTCCATTCATTTTCCTTGATTTCCTTTGATGTCCCTTCATGTCCATTCATTTCCCTTAATCTCCCTGGATTTCCCTTCATTTCCATTCATTTCCCTTAATCTCCCTGGATTTCCCTTGACAGCGTTCAAATAGCAGACACCACTATCAACAAGTATCAACAAGCCTACCATTAATAATTTACACAATTTTATAATGTCATTAATCGTGAGATTATTTTTCGCTAACAAAATTTAGCAATAGTGTTAACGAAATAAAGGACATAGATTTATTTTTTTTTGGGGGGGGGGGTGCGTAAGGTGTTGGTTGCGTAATAACTTGGTGTTGCGACTCAGAGTCCAGGTTTGCGACTCCTACAGGCACATAGTTTGTGTCTTTATTGAAGATAATGATAGCTCTCATGAATTAAACCACAAAAAAATGGTTCTGAACAGTTTGGTCTCTGTTATACTAAACGAGCGAAGGCGGGGAAAGTCTGACTACTTCGCGTCTGGTCAGAAAAGTCCAGCTGAAACTCCGCGACTCCACGACCTAGTTTTACAGTACAACACCCCGACGCTCGAGTATCAACCCGACCTCACGCATGGCAGACAATTTTGAGGTTATTTACAGTACGGCCTACTTAAACAAAAGGTGTATTTATACCCAGCCAAGACCTGGAGCTGCTAGAATCAGGGCAGCCTTCCTCCAACAAGACTGCAGACACAAACAACTCTCTAGTACAGCGAGGCTACGTTTCTTGCGGGTACGTATACATTTTTAAAAATAAATTCTCTGTTTGAATGTTTGTATGCTGAACATTAACACGATATTGTTCTAGATAGTGGTGTAATATTTCAGCTGAGATTTAGTGTATTTTCCTTTTTAAGTGTTGTTCCCGTTGAGATATGACAGTTGTTATTTGGATGCAATTTTTTTAACTGCTTTTCTGAGTTGTCTTAAAATAAAGCTTTATTTTATCTAGAGGTTCCAACTCCTTGTTGTTTAAATGCAACACAACTAACACACAACATAGTTCAATGAACTATAACAATCAAACATATGAAATTTAACAATCCAATATAAAAAATGAAATATAACAATCGAACATAACAATCGAACGACATATGACATAACAATCGAACGTGTGGAATTCAACAATACCATCTAACATATGAACTATAACAATGTAGCGTATGAAATATAGCAAATGGAAAAAATGACATATAACAATCTAACATTGCATAAACTAAAAATATTTTACTGTTAAACTTGAATTTAACTTCGATAAGAGTAACTGTATCTTCACATAAGAGTAACTGTATCTTCACATAAGAGTAACTGTATCTTCGCATAAGAGTAACTGTATCTTCACATAAGAGTAACTGTATCTTCACATAAGAGTAACTGTATCTTCACATAAGAGTAACTGTATCTTCACATAAGAGGAACTGTATCTTCACATAAGAGTAACTGTATCTTCACATAAGTGTAACTGTATCTTCACATATTATTGCGAACATATTTATGGGTTTCAGGTTTGCTCACTAGCGAATTGGCTACATTGCACAACATGTTGTCTTGTCACATTGTATTGGCTACATTGCACAACATGTTGTCTTGTCACATTGTATTGGCTACATTGCACACCATGTTGTCTTGTCACATTGTATTGGCTACATTGCACAACATGTTGTCTTGTCACATTGTATTGGCTACATTGCACAACATGTTGTCTTGTCACATTGTATTGACTACATTGCACAACATGTTGTCTTGTCACATTGTATTGGCTACATTGCACAACATGTTGTCTTGTCACATTGTATTGGCTACATTGCACAACATGTTGTCTTGTCACATTGTATTGGCTACATTGCGCAGCATGTTGTCTTGTCGCATTGTATTATAGCAGTGATTCTCAACCTTCCTAATGCCGCGACCCTTTAATACAGCTCCTCGTGTTGTGGCGACCCCCAGCGAAAAATTATTTTCGTTGCCCCTTCATAATTGTAGAGTATATCTGTTTTCCAATGTCTTAGGCGACCCCCGAGGAAGGGTCGCGCGACCCCCATAGGGGTTGCGACCCGCAGGTTGAGAACCACTGTATTATAGGCTACATTGAGCAACGTGTTGTCTTGTCACATTGTATTATAAGCTACATTGCACATCATGTTGGCTTGTCACATTGTATTATAGGCTACATTGCACATCATGTTGGCTTGTCACATTGTATTATAGGCTACATTGCACATCATGTTGGCTTGTCACATTGTATTATAGGCTACATTGCACATCATGTTGGCTTGTCACATTGTATTATAGGCTACATTGCACATCATGTTGGCTTGTCAAATTGTATTATAGGCTACATTGCACATCATGTTGGCTTGTCACATTGTATTATAGGCTACATTGCACATCATGTTGGCTTGTCACATTGTATTATAGGCTACATTGCACAACACGTTGTCTTGTCACATTGTATTATAGTCTACATTGCACATCATGTTGGCTTGTCACATTGTATTATAGGCTACATTGCACATCATGTTGGCTTGTCACAATGTATTATAGGCTACATTGCACAACATGTTGGCTTGTCACATTGTATTATAGGCTACATTGCACAACATGTTGTCTTGTCACATTGTATTGGCTACATTGCACAACATGTTGGCTTGTCACATTGTATTATAGGCTACATTGCACAACATGTAGTCTTTCTCATTGTATTGGCTACATTGTGCAACATTTTGTCTTGTCACATTGTATTGGTTACATTGCACAACATATTTCCTTGTCACATTGTATTATAGTCTACATTGCGCAACATGTTGTGTTGTCACATTGCATTATAGGCTACATTGCACAACATGTTGGCTTGTCACATTGTATTGGCTACATTGCACAACATGTTTCCTTGTCACATTGCATTATGGGCTACATTGTGCAACGTGTTGGCTTGTCACATTGCATTATAGGCTACATTTTGCAACATGTTGGCTTGTCACATTGCATTATAGTATAGGCTACACCGCACAAGGTTTTCACACGCAAAATGTATAGATTAATTGTATTTTTCTCAATTACACGTAGCCTAGTTGTGCATTGTTATAATTTGAGACTGGGTCGTTGGCTTGGCACATAAGTCAAAGGTCAACATTTTATTTTTTACTAAAAACACATACACACACAATAAACACACACACACACACACACACACATTCGACGTCCGCCAAGTTGTTTCCCCTGATAGTCCTGCATTGAAGGTGACCTCGTTTGCAAGGGACGGAAAGATAATTTGTATACCAACACAGATGCGACTGAACTCAAACTTTGCATGACTTCAGAGCTCAAACTTCACACAGACACCCATCCAAGTGTCTCTTTTCATTTGTATTAATCTCTAAAAGCTCACACCGTTACACGCATATTTAAGAACACTAACTGTGCATAGATTCCACGTTTTACAGCGAATATGAAAATACATTTTTGATTCTTAGATTTACAGACCTTGTTTAATGTGTATGTTGTTATTGTAAGTTTAAAAAAAAAAAAAAAAAAACTAATAGGGAACCACAAGTATTTAACATTTAATTATTTAAGAACACTAACTGTGCATAGATTCCACGTTTTACAGCGAATATGAAAATACATTTTTGATTTTTAGATTTACAGACCTTGTTTAATGTGTATGTTGTTATTGTAAGTTTAAAAAAAAAAAAAAAAAACTAATAGGGAACCACAAGTATTTAACATTTAATAAAATTTTGTCCAAAAAGTTTATAAATGTTCTTTTAAATATACGAACATAAATTTGGGATGATTTTAAAATGATGACATATGCCGTAACTCCATACCATTGCTGCTGATTGCTGACAATAACCTTTTAAAAACAAAAGCACTCGCTTCCCCAACGCAATGCATGGCTGACGATGTCAACTTGTCTTTACAAACTACCTGCAACGAGTTGTTTCGCCGTCTAAGCTTGCCATGTCTGGACACACATGTCGTTATCTCGTCTGATAACATGCGTGTGGTATTTTGACAAGTGACGCACTTGTCCTTGTGACTCCCCCACTCTATCGGTCATTGTTGGGTTACAGGGGTCACCCAGGGTGCCCTAATCTCACAACCTTAAAATTTAGCTTGGGTAATGGTGGAAGCTGACAGATTCGCTTGTTATTTTTGTAAGACTTGTTATTTTTGTAAGACTTGTTATTTTTGTAAGACCTGTTATTTTTGTAAGACTTGTTATTTTTGTAAGACCTGTTATTTTTGTAAGACTTGTTATTTTTGTAAGACTTGTTATTTTTGTAAGACCTGTTATTTTTGTAAGACCTGTTATTTTTGTAAGACCTGTTATTTTTGTAAGACCTGTTATTTTTGTAAGACCTGTTATTTTTGTAAGACTTGTTATTTTTGTAAGACCTGTTATTTTTGTAAGACTTCTTATTTTTGTAAGACCTGTTATTTTTGTAAGACTTGTTATTTTTGTAAGACCTGTTATTAAGTGCCCTTAATCTTAGTAGGCTACCTATAAAAACCTTGCAAAAGTCGAGAAAACAATTTAATTTGAATTTTGTATTCTCAAAATATGACAAGAAATTTAGTCAAGTGGGAATTACTTTGGCGATTCACAGACATTAAGTTGAGAAAATACAAACCATAAGTTAAAGACGTCATCTTTGAGGTTTCGTTTCAAAACCCACTTGAAAACGCAAAAACAAAAACAGAGTGTCTTGTACATCAAACACGATGTCCTCCCTTTCATGGTTGAATGGGTTTTTTTCTCTTTCATATATTTGCTTTATATTTCCTATTAAGACGAAATATTTGGGCTAAATATTTAACATGTGATCTTTATTATTTTTAAAACTGCATGAGTCTAATTAGGGGTCTGAGTGTAAGAACGGTTACACCCCCCCTGACTCTGATCATGGCTACTCTTGGCCCTCGACCTTGACCCCCTGTGTCCAGGCCTTGCCTCGACTTTAACCCTCTGTATCCATGCCCTGTCTCTAGCATGAACCTTTGTATCCAGGCCTTGCCTCGACCCTGACCCTCTGTTTACAGGCCCTGTCTCGACCTTGACCCTCTGTATCCAGGCCTTGCCTCAACCTTGACCCTCTGTATCCGGGCCTTGCCTCGACCTTGACCCTCTGTATCCAGGCCTTGCCTCGACCTTGACCCACTGTATCCAGGTCTCCCCTCGTGTCGAGAATGAATTTGGCGCAATAAACAAATGTCCCACCTCTACATAAAGTATTTTTAAAACATTGAATAAAAGAATCTATGACATTTTGTAATTAACCCATTTGAATCGCCCATTAAGATATACAAAAGTAGTGTCATCAGGGACGGATCGCCCCGATTCGCATCTTTCTCCTACGCCATGGTGAAGAAATAAACCTTATACTTTTGTCAATAGTATTGCATTATAGAAGATAAGATAAGATTCTTTTATTGATCCAAACAAACGGATTTTTTTTTATTGCATTGTACATTTTCAGCACATAAATAAAACAATACGAATACAGTGTTTTTGTATTAAACCATTATTCATCATCAGATTCGTTTGAAAGAAGCATTTTGAGATGGCAGCAGGCCGCTGGGCTGTGCTCGGCCTGTGTCTCGTGACTCTGGTTACAGATGTGACGTCGCAGCGGCGCTGTCAGGTGCCACAATGGCCGGCGAGCCTGGGCGACAACCCTTTGGCGAGTAACTCTGGGAAAGTTGTCCTGGTGGCCCTGATGAAGGGATACTGTTCTTACTGTGTCAACCAGGCCACAAGGTGAGTCCATCTGTCATGACTTAGGCACCCAGCTGAGTTCACCTATCATAACTTAGGCCATAAGGTGAGTTCATCTATCATGACCCAGGTCACAAGGTGAGTTCATCGATCATGACCCAGGTCACAAGGTGAGTCCACCTATCATGACCCAGGTCACAAGGTGAGTTCATCTATCATGACCCAGGTCACAAGGTGAGTTCATCTATCATGACCTAGGTCACAAGGTGAGTTCATCTATCATGACCCAGGCCACAAGGTGAGTTCATCTATCATGACCCAGGTCACAAGGTGAGTTCATCTATCATGACCCAGGTCACAAGGTGAGTTCATCTATCATAACCTAGGCCACAAGGTGAGTTCATCTATCATGACCCAGATCACAAGGTGAGTCCATCTATCATGACCCAGGCCACAAGGTGAGTTCATCTATCATGACCCAGGCCACAAGGTGGGTTCATCTATCATGACCTAGGCCACAAGGTGAGTTCATCTATCATGACCCAGATCACAAGGTGAGTTCATCTATCATGACCCAGGCCACAAGGTGAGTTCATCTATCATGACCCAGGCCACAAGGTGAGTTCATCTATCATGACCCAGATCACAAGGTGAGTCCATCTATCATGACCCAGGTCACAAGGTGAGTTCATCTATCATGACCCAGGCCACAAGGTGAGTTCATCTATCATGACCCAGGTCACAAGGTGAGTTCATCTATCATGACCCAGGTCACAAGGTGAGTTCATCTATCATGACCCAGGCCACAAGGTGAGTTCATCTATCATGACCCAGGTCACAAGGTGAGTCCATCTATCATGACCCAGGCCACAAGGTGAGTCCATCCATCATGACCCAGGCCACAAGGTGAGTCCATCCATCATGACCCAGGCCACAAGGTGAGTTCATCCATCATGACCCAGGTCACAAGGTGAGTCCATCTATCATGACCCAGGCCACAAGGTGAGTTCATCTATCATGACCCAGGTCACAAGGTGAGTCCATCTATCATGACCCAGGTCACAAGGTGAGTCCATCTATCATGACCCAGGTCACAAGGTGAGTCCATCTATCATGACCCAGGTCACAAGGTGAGTTCATCTATCATGACCCAGGCCACAAGGTGAGTTCATCTATCATGACCCAGGCCGCAAGGTGAGTTCATCTATCATGACCCAGGTCACAAGGTGAGTCCATCTATCATGACCCAGGTCACAAGGTGAGTTCATCTATCATGACCCAGGCCACAAGGTGAGTCCATCTATCATGACTTCAATTTTGTTAACACTGAAGTTGTCCAACAGCTCACCAAATCGTTTCATTGGTTATTTGTGCCCCTTAAATTTAATATGTAGTAAATTATCATCGGGGGGGGGGGGGCCAGAGGTCGAAGAATTATCGCCACATAGGAAATTCTCACTGATGTATTGATGGCGTAACCAATAAGGGATCTGAGCAGTGGTGGACTATAAGTGGTCAAGACTTATCAAGTTTTCACTTACCGAGTGTTTACCCTAGTGTTTACCCTAGTCTTACAACTTGACCACAGTGTACCGACTATTATTTCCATGTCCAGACTGGAGGCCTTGAAGAACAGACTAGCCAGCCAAGGGTTCAACGACATCGCCATGATCATCGTCAACGGTGGTGAGCCCATCTCTCGAGAACGGATTGCCAACCTGCAGCAGGCGACGACCAGCCTGCCCGTCATCCAGGACACGGAACAGCACGTCATGTTCCGTGACGTCTTCGCGGGGAACAAAGATGATTTCATCGTTTATGACAGGTAGGTTAGGGGGCGGGGAAAGAGGGGGGGGGGCTAATCTGATACATGACTTCCACTATGACAGGTAGGTTGGACAGGTTGGACACTAAACTTATACATGACTTGCACTCTGACTGATAGGGTGGACAGGTTGGACACTAATCTTATACATGACTTCCACTATTACGGGTAGGTTGGTGGGGGGGGGGAAGGAGGGGGGGGGGCTAATCTGATACATGACTTCCACTATGACAGGTAGGTTGGACAGGTTGGACACTAAACTTATACATGACTTGCACTCTGACTGATAGGTTGGACAGGTTGGACACTAATCTTATACATGACTTCCACTATTACAGGTAGGTTGGACAGGGGGGGGGGCGCGCTTATGTTTTACATGACTTCCACTATGACAGGTAGGTTGGACATGCAGGTGGAGGGGGGCACTAATTTTATACTTGACATCATCTGTGACATGTAGGTGTGTTCTAACCTTATACTTGACATCATCTGTGACATGTAGGTGTGTTCTAAACGTACGCTTGACATCATCTATGACATGTAGGTGTGTTCTAATATTATACTTGACATCATCTGTGACATGTAGGTGTTTTCTAACCGTACACTTGACATCATCTATGACATGTAGATGTGTTCTAACCTAATACTTGACATCATCTATGACAAGTAGGTGTGTTCTAATCTTTCACTTGACATCATCTGTGACATGCAGGTGTGCTCTAAACGTACACTTGATATCATCTGTGACATGCAGATGTGTTCTAATCGTATACTTGACATCATCTGTGACATGTAGGTGTGTTCTAACCTTACACTTGACATCATCTGTGACATGTAAGTGTGTTCTAATCGTATACATTTCTGTACGTAAACCAATCCACTGACGGCGATCACGTGACGGTCATCTTGTACATTTCCCAGGTGTGGTCAGCGAGCCGTGTTCATCCCACATCCTTACAGCTACCTGAGCCACGGCATCACGGAGCGGGTCCTGAAGACGGTCTACCGTGGCGGCCACTCTTGCCACTGCAGCCTGGACATCGTCAACGCCGTCAACCCCCTGGACCAAATGCTCGGGGACCAGCCCGCTGGGGACCAACCTGCGGGAGAAATCAACTGGGCTCCTCGTTACAAGTTTGACCTTTACTGTCCCGCCTCGGCCAAAATGTGCCAGAAGTTTCAGGAGAAGTTCAGGAAAAACCGCTTGGAACGAGGACGGTTTCTAAGTGCGAGCCGTCACGGCCTCCGGAAGGGGCACCACGGCCACAAGCCCCATGATGCAAAGTTAGGGAAACACCACCCGCACCACAACCGGCATGACGTGGCCGGGTCGATGTGAGACTGCACCAATGTCAGCCTGACCCCCGTCATCCGAACCCCGACCCACCGGTGCCGGTGTCCCCAGAGGCTGTTCAGTGACCAGTGCGTGTGCACCCGACCCGTACTCGGCAGTGGCGGTGCCGTCTCGAGCTGGCACTGTGGCTGCGGTGACCCCTCTGAGGACACCCGGGCCCGGTGCGAGCATTGTCACGTCTGTGACGACAGCCCGGAGTGTCAGGATGTGGCAGTCATGGCCGCGTGTCAAGAGCGGTGCAGGTGTCTTCGTCACAGGTCGAAGGCTCCACTCGGCGACAAGACGGTTTGAAAGTGACGAGACGCCGATGGCGTCACGACAGACTGACAGACGAAGAAGGGTGACGTCACGAGACGTTGACAGGACGGTACAACCGTGACTTGACAGTGATCTCCCCCAAGTATTCCCTGACAGTGACAAGATGGTAATGGAAGGAGCTGACAGTGACAAAATAAGTTGCTCAGGGGCTGACAATAAATGACGAGCCACACACACATCCTACACACACTCCTAAGATGCCAAGTAAATGACTTGTCATACACGTATCTTACACACAATCCTAAGATCCCAAGTAAATGACTTGTCATACACGTATCTTACACACAATCCTAAGATGCCAAGTAAATGACTTGTCATACACGCATCCTACACACAATCCTAAGATGCCAAGTAAATGTCTTGTCATATACGCATCCTACACACAATCCTAAGATGTCAAGTAAAAGACTAGTCATACACGCATCTTACACACAATCCTAAGATGCCAAGTAAAGGACTAGTCGTACACACATCCTACACACAATTCTAAGATGCCAAGTAAAGGACTTGTCGTACACACAATCCTAAGATGCCAAGTAAAGGACTAGTCATACACACATCCTACACACAATCCTAAGATGCCAAGTAAAGGACTAGTCATACACACATCCTACACACAATCCTAAGATGCCAAGTTAAGGACTCGTCATACACACATCTTACACATGCATGCTGGGATGCCATACTCAGAAATAATGCCAAAGTTTAAGAGTCAGATTTCTTATTCTGCTCCCCTCCCGCCCCTTTTTTTCCCCTTTATGGTTTGAGTGTTAAAACTTATTCACCGTGATTCTCAAACAAATATTAAGTGGACACACTCCGACAGTACGAAACTTTGATTTCAGCTGAGGAGTTTATTCTTTATACTGGAAAATAGCCTGTAAAGAACCCAACACAAACTGACACGTGACAGCTCACCAACTGACAGAGCACCGGACCACCTCAAAATACGTGACAGCTCACCAACTGACAGAGCACCGGACCACCTCCAAACACGTGACAGCTCACCGACTGACAGAGCACCGGACCCCCTCCAAATACGTGACAGCTCACCGACTGACAGAGCACCGGACCACCTCCAAACACGTGTCAGCTCACCGACTGACAAAGCACCGGACCACCTCCAAACACGTGACAGCTCACCAACTGACAGAGCACCGTACCACCTCCAAACACGTGACAGCTCACCAACTGACAGAGCACCGGACCACCTCCAAACACGTGACAGATCACCAACTGACAGAGCACCGGACCACCTCCAAACACGTGACAGCTCACCAACTGACAGAGCACCGGACCACCTCCAAATACGTGACAGCTCACCAACTGACAGAGCACCGGACCACCTCCAAACACGTGACAGCTCACCGACTGACAGAGCACCGGACCACCTCCAAACACGTGACAGCTCACCGACTGACAGAGCACCGGACCACCTCCAAACACGTGACAGCTCACCGACTGACAGAGCACCGGACCACCTCCAATTACGTGACAGCTCACCAACTGACAGAGCACCGGACCACCTCCAAATACGTGACAGCTCACCAACTGACAGAGCACCGGACCACCTCCAAATACGTGACAGCTGTCAACTGACAGAGCGCCGGATCACCTCCAAATACGTGACAGCTGCCAACTGACAGAGCACCGAATCTTCTTCACCGACGTGACGGCTGCCAACTGACATGGCACTGGCTTCTCGGGGTCCCGAGGTCCCATGACGATACCCGACAAAACCTTCAGGAGTCGGCTATTTGAACCTACCCAAACCTGGTCCATTCCCTGACCGCCAGTCTATGTAGTAAACATTGACAGCATCACTTAGCTACACGCTGTCTGACTTTTCGCTGCACACGAATCAACGCCTAGTTCTGTTCGATGATTTATTTGAGAATCGTCAATTTTCAGGATTTGGGTTCTCTAGCATTAGTAAGAAAATAACTCTACTTTATTGTTTCACGTTTAAAAAGATCATGATTGTGTAGTGAAATGTCCATGGCGTGTAGCTTGTCTTTTTCTATTCAATCATGTTATAAACCTTTATGATACGTTTTATAAATAGTATACTTAACTTTAATAACTAAAAAATATAATGCAAGAAGTATTATCTAAAATATATAATGCAAGAAGTATTATCGATCGTATAGGTCAATAGGCCTACTAACAGGTACATTACTCATCCTTTTTTTAAATTCTGAGTTGTCAGCATTTTTGTTGACGCCAAAACTATAGTGTCAAATCTTACAAGATTTGCGCACCGGTATTTGCTGCACAATGTTTGATTAAAGCTTGCACAGCGTGTCGTTTGAGTGCATATTCACAATGAATTTAATAAAAAAAATTAAAATATTTAGAGTTTGTCCTGCATAATGTTTTATACTCTCTCAAATTCTGTTATTTTTATTAGTACTGTTATTTTTGTAAAGTTTACTTAAAATTGGAGGTATTGTGAATATTCCAATAAAATATATTTTTATAAGAAAGAAAAAGACCATCAAAAATTATAATTATCCTAATGAAAATTTATGCGAATATATAAAAGAAAGAGGGTTCAGACTTTTAAAGGAAATTGATACATTTTTTAAAATAATACCCCGTTATAAATATAGAAAATATATTTCATCGTGAAATTCCACTTTTTAATAAAATAATTTCTAAATTCCAGTTTGAGATATAAAATATCAGTTTAACTTCATTGTTGTTTGTTTTTTCCCCTTCTAATTTTATTTTTTCAAGCCCCCCTAAAAAATTAAGATTAGTCTACATCTTGATTATTTACCTCCATCTAAAAAATTCCTCTTTTAATTTTTCAATCTTTTGTTTTGTTTCTGTTCGGAATCGCGCGTCAAATTGGTTTTAAAAATAGATTCATGAGGTGACTTCCGTTGCTTGAAGATCACCAGAAAGTTATTTTCAGGCGATCGACGCAAGGGGGGTTGGTTGGTGTCTATGCCCTCCTGGACAAACAGTGCTAGCGTTGCGAGAATTATCCCACCCTGCCTCACCGACTTGACCGTTGGACGTCATTGGCACGAAATAAACAGTTTGGACTGAGCTGCGACAATGCCGTTCCTTCACCCTAAGAAATTGCGTGAACCTCTGTGGAAGGAGTGGAATAATAAGGCCAACAAGAAAGGGGTTCTCAACCCAGTTTACTGTGTCAACGGCAATCAATACACAGGCTCATGGCTGGACAACAAACGACACGGTTTGTGAAGAAAAAAATTTGTGTCATTTTATCTTGTGTCCTTGCCTACCATGTCCTTGCCTACCATTGTTGCCCACCATATTGTATCAATTCTCTAAATGTTCTTTATCCAAGATGGATGCCCCGTCCCAGGACGGATGCCTGAATATAAAATGTGGAGGCCCATTGGCCGTCATAATTTTACCGCCCCAAGCTCATATCTAGGCCAGGCGTGGCGGGGGGGGCGTCACTTTTGAGTCTATATATTATATAGGCCCAACATTTTATGAATTGACTTATGTTTAAAGGAGCCCTTGGCAGCATTTAGTCTTGGTACGTCACCGCTCTCTCATTTTATCCACGCTATTCTGTTGAGTTCGAGTCAAACTTTGTCTGATGAATCAGAAATGTCATTGTCTTTTTGGTTCAGATTTTTGGAGTCTGTTATTAACCCAAATTAACTGACGTCATCTTAAGACGACTTTCTCTCAAAACCCTCAAGTGTTTTTTTTCTTTTCTCCTGTTAATTCTATAACAAAGGTAGAAAAAAGGACGGGGGAGGGGGGTGCTAAAATGTTCTTAAGATAGGACCTTAATTAGAACTAAACGAGACAATCCAATGTTCTTAAGATAGGACCTTAATGAGAACTAAACGATACAATCCAATGTTCTTAAGATAGGACCTTAATTAGAACTAAACGATACAATCCAATGTTCTTAAGATAGGACCTTAATTAGAACTAAACGATACAATCCAATGTTCTTAAGATAGGACCTTAATTAGAACTAAACGATACAATCCAATGTTCTTAAGATAGGACCTTAATTAGAACTAAACGATACAATCCAATGTTCTTAAGATAGGACCTTAATTAGAACTAAACGATACAATCCAATGTTCTTGACGAAGACAAGGAGCGCCAGAAATCGTATTTTGATTGTTTCGCCCTGGGGGGCAACTTTTTTCTATAAATTGAGGGACGCCATATTCAGGGTTCTTCCAGGGCGCCGCCTTTCCCCAGCACGAACCTGCCCTGGGGGGCCGCAGCCTTGCCCTGGGTGACCACAGCCCAGCCCTGGGTGACCACAGCCCTGCCCTGGGTGACAACAGCCTTGCCCTGGGTGACCATATAGCTCTGTCTTGGGTGACCATAGCCCTGCCCTGGGTGACCACAGCCCTGCCCTGGGTGACTACAGCCTTGCCCTGGGTGACCACAGCCTTGCCTTGGGTGACCACAGCCTTGCCTTGGGTGACCACAGCCCTTGCCTTGGGTGACCCCAGCCTTGCCCTCGGTGACCACAGCCTTGCCCTCGGTGACCACAGCCCTGCCCTGGGTGACCACAGGCTTGCCCTCGGTGACCACAGCCTTGCCCTCGGTGACCACAGCCCTGCCCTGGGTGACCACAGCCCTGCCGTCGGTGACCACAGCCCTGCCCTGTATGGCCACGGTTTCATCACAAGGGCATTGCGAAATATTACATGTGACAACAGCAACTCACTTAATAACGCTTAGAGACTTAAATATGTGTTTTATTTATTTCTACTTCTACCCAACCCTTGATTTTATTTTTAAAATACATTCACCATTTCTAAGTGTAGCTGTAAGAATTTAACTCGTGGTGCCAGGTTCGAGCCTAAATTTGCAAGGGCTCAGGGAATCGACAAAAAAATATTCTAAGAACCATTGACGTAGCCGAAAGAAATACGTCACAGGCCTTAGCCCCGAGTAGACCTCTTCCTAGAGCGCTACGTAGTTTTTAAAACACGAGGCAACATTATGACGATAATTGCTACAAACTTTGCGTGATATTTTTTACATTATATATAAATATCCTACCGTCTTCATCTTCTATGTCTTGAAAGCGCATGATCATCGAATTGATCATTCTGGCTCCTCCGTATGTAGCTGNTTTATGGACTTTCGAAATTAAAGGAAAATTATTGCATATTTGAACTTACTTTCTACCGAGCCCCCACCACGCACTTGGGTCATACGCACGCAAATTCTCCAAACAACCCCCCCCCCCCACATACACACACACAATTTTATTTTAGTCCACACGTACTGTAGCACGTGCCCCTCATACACAATATGACCGTCCTTGCTATCTTTGTGTCAAACGCTCCGGTGAGTTCTTCACGTGCTGCGCGATGGTGATCATCTCAAATAAGTTATTTTCAACTTTACTTCTGCGATAGCTGCTGTTACCAGCACGGTTAACATTATTGAGCACACCGAGCCCAGCATTCGGAAACGAATCTGCCAGCGGCCACAGGCAACTGAAGACAATATCGTGATGTTTGACCTTATCCTGGCATCATTTGTCTCAGTACTTTCAATTCTTCCAGTATGGTAAGACCGGATCGTCTACCTCCCGTGAACCATCCCATCTCAACACCATGTCCGAATTCACATTCTGTTTGCTGAAACCGGCCAGTCATTGGGTGGAGTTTCTAAATATCTTATAGAAAGCCAACGATGTCAATGTACACTTGCAGTTGTTGGGAACGTTTTAATTCAAAGATCCCAACACCTGGTCTACTAGCCACTTGAAATGTTAAAAAATTTGAAATTTCCTTCTGCCCTTTGAAACGAAACAAACATTTTCAATTATCAGCATTTTTTTCAATTTTTTTTTTTTTTTTTTTTTTTTTTTTTTTTTTTTAAATTTTTTTTTTTTTTTTTTTTTTTTTTTTTTTTTTTTTTTTTTTTTTGCTTCAAACTTGTATGATTGTAACCAGCAGACATAACACACTGATGCTAGGAGCGTGCAATGAATTAACTCAACATACAGGACTTTGCGTCATATGGCATAGAGTCATATACTAATATGATTTATGGTCATACGTCACGAATATTTAAATTGTTTTAGTTTTAGCCCCCTGGATATGCTTGTGCAAAGTTTCTAACTTGTCAATGTGCAAAGTTTCTAACTTGTCAATGTGCAAAGTTTCTAACTTGTCAATGTGCAAAGTTTCTAACTTGTCAATGTGCAAAGTTTCTAACTTGTCAATGTGCAAAGTTTCTACCTGTCATACAAATATACTTAACTAACAATAGAGATGCATGATGACCATATATTACCTGTTATGCCAATGGTAATTAAATTCTATATTCTTGTAAATATTCTTTTAATTAATGTTGAAATATAAAAGAAATCAAATGTGTAGTACGTAAACCGTCTTACATTCAGAATCAATGTGAGATGTGAGGGCTAACATAAAGGTGTGAGAAGTGAGGGCTAACATACAGGTGTGAGATGGGAGGGCCAACATACAGGTGTGAGAAGTGAGGGCTAACATACATGTGTGAGATGTGAGGGCCAACATACAGGTGTGAGAAGTGAGGGCTAACATATAGGTGTGAGAAGTGAGGGCCAACATAAAGGTGTGAGATGTGAGGGCCAACATACAGGTGTGAGATGTGAGGGCTGACATACAGGTGTGAGATGTGAGGGCTAACATACAGGTGTGAGATGTGAGGGCCAACATAAAGGTGTGAGATGTGAGGGTCAACATACAGGTGTGAGATATGAAGGCTAACATACAGGTGTGAGATGTGATGGCCAACATACAGGTGTGAGATGTGAGGGCTAACATAAAGGTGTGAGATGTGATGGCAAACTTCAGGTGTGAGAAGTGAGGGCTAATATAAATGTGTGAGATGCGAGGGCTAACATAAAGGTTTGAGATTAGAGGGCTAATATACAGGTGTGAGATGTGGGGGCCACTATATATATATATATATATATATATATATATATATATATATATATATATATATATATATATATATATATATATATATATATATATATATATATGTATGTGCGATGTGAGGGCTAACATAGAGATGTAAGGTCTTGAAATTACTATCGTCCGGTCGTCCACGTATGGTGTCTATATAAGATGCAGGACCGATATAATGGTTAAAATTATGGCTACGTAACCAATGATCTCTAATTTAACGTACGACTGCAGCATGAGGCTTTATGTTCAGCTCCTCTGCAGACACGCGTATTCTGTCCGTTCCCAAGACACACACTAAAACATATGGTGAACGATCTGTCTCTTTTAGTCAAAATGGACCCGGACACGCAGCGCCGCCATTCGGTCACGGGTACCATTAGAACAATGTTATTCGGATGACATTAATTGTGGTAGTTTATTTTAGTTAAACTGAAGAAGTACGTTTACCAACATATATATTATATTCAATTATCTTTCATTTAAAACCTCATTTTGTCTTAAAAACCCAACAATGATATTTAAAACTGGCAATAGAGTAGAGTGATCTACTTTTTAGTTTTGTGCCTGGTTAACGAGTTTAGTCACGATAGCCAGGATGTTGTACGCATTCCTTGCTGGAAAAAAAAAAATAATAATCATCTTTTGTAGATAATTTTGCAAGTTAAAATCTTAAATACTAAAAATTTAAAAAATAAAATAATCAGTTAAATTAGTCTTAACAAATTAAAAATTTTAAAAAAAAATAAAAAAAAAAAACACACAAAAGCAACAAAACAAAAAACAACTAAAGAATTCTTTCGAAGACAATTTTTTAACCACACTAAAAGGTAGAAATCTTTTTTTTTTTTCAATGTCTTAAAATTCATCACGCGAAGAAAGTGAGTGCAGAAAATAGTTTCAAAGGTTAAATTAAAAATAGAAAAAAAATATTGAAGTTTTTTCAACGTCAACTTCTAAATTTAATTGGAATCCTTTGGCTTTTTTATATTAAATAATTTTAAATGTGTCTTACTTCCCTTCTGAACTGTCTTTGCAAAATTAATTCTAATTTTAAGAACATTATTTTCTAATTTTTAGTGTGCTTAAACTGGTATTTGAAAGAAGGTTGTTGTTTGTTGTTGTTTTTTTAATTTAATTAAAATTTTACCATTCTTTAAAATGAAAAATGAATAGTCACATTCTAATTAAACATTTTGCCCTTATTATAAAAAATAAAAGGAATAATTTCCCCTTTCCGTTACCTAGAGACAACAGGAAGTAAACAGCTTTTTTTGATTTCGATAACAGCCAATATTTAAGTTATAACATCTTGTCTCGGAAGCTTTTCTTTTAAAATAAATACATCAAAGTTATTTACATTTAACATTTTTTGAGTGTATAAAAATGTGATATACATAAATAAACAAACCAAGGATATGAATTGATTGTTCAAAGAAAACGCAACAATTTATTTCATCAATATTCTCACTACTAGTTACTACTAGTTAGTTTATTAATAGTTAGTAGTACTTATTTAATTTAACTTATAAACTGAAAACAGAACAATGCCATTTTTACATTCACCTAAATCACGGGAACCCCTTTGGAAAGAGTGGGATTATAAAGCTCAAAAGAGTGGAGTACATGCAACCGTTTACTCTGTGAACGGCGATGAATATAATGGAGAATGGCTTAACAATAAAAAACATGGTTGGTATTAATTATTATTATAAATGTTAATAATTAATATTATAATAATTATTAACCTTAAATATTACCAAGGCCGATTTACACATTTCTGCCCCCCCCCCTCCCGACCAAAGCACTCAATTCTGCACACCACTCACTCAAAAAGTTTTTTTTTTAAATTATAACTTCAAATTAATAAAAATAAGATACTTATTGATTCATTATTCAATATTGATACAAACAATACATTTACAATGGTTTTTGAAACATAAACTCATAAACACTTTAAACAATCTTTGAACCAAATGAATTTTTAATTAAAATCTAAACTTACAAAGCATTTTATAGTAGGGCCTTTTCAAAATAATACTGAAGAATGTTTTAATATTTGGTTGTTATTTTTCTGCCCTCCCCCCCCTTTTTTTTTTAGTGCTATGGGGAAATACAGCCCTGAGTATTATTACTATTTAGTTTACACTACTAGTATTAGACTTTTAGTGTTGGTTAAACAAAGGCCTTTTATTAACTTATGAGATCAGCTGTTTTTCTGATGTTAAAATTGTAAGTCTGTATGATCGTAGGTCTATGTTAGAGCAAGAGTGCATTTCATTTTTCAACACTGTAAAAATCCTGATATTTTTATGCAGAAAACAAGTTTTTAGACAGCGATTCGTTCTATTACTCAGAATAGATTGCCCTTCCTTACTTGCCTCATTAGTCTATTCCATCTGCTTAATTACTCATAGTTGTGGACTACCCCAAAGAAATTTAAATCTGATACCTTTAGGTAGAGACTGAGACCACTCCATGAGACTGACTAATATTGGATTTAGAGGAAAGAGTAATACAAATATTAAGGTTATCAACTGGATAGATTACAAATTCGTTATACATTTTGGAACACCCCCCACCCCAAACCATCATCACAACTTTGTCACATTATTAAGACTCTGTCATAATACGCTATCACAAAATCTTCCCCCTATTATCGTCTCACAATATTGTCATCATTTAAGGATGGCCTCTTGTGTGAATTTTTGTGTGAATTTTTTCATTGTATCAAAATGTTCTCTCAGTGCTTTGCTTTTAATACTTGATATTTAATACTGAAAAAGCACAAAACAGTTTTAATCACCAAAATTCCTTTTGGCATGTGTGAGAAAACTTTGCACCAAAGATTTTGCCATTTCACCATGCACAATTAATAATGGTGCTCAGGCCTGTTCTTGGTCATGTTTTCATCAGTGATAGACCGCCACTCATCATGAAGTTACTTCTTGTAAATCAACGTTAGATCTTGTGTTTTCTAAATTGGTTTACAATAATTTACACTCTTGCTTTGCTGCTTTATACTTGGACTTAATCAATCCCTTCAAAGTGGTATGTGCTTCAGACATTTAAATTTTAAATCTTCAGAATCACTTTGGGCCATCGTTCCTACTCCTACCCATCTATCCTTTTTACGATTACAAATTTTACAAGTCATATCATTACATTACCAGTATCATATTTCAGTTTTCAAGATAAACTTAAGAGGACACCTAACAAATGCCAGAATGTTAAATCTCTTGCAGGCAAAGGAACTTACAAGTGGAAAGATACTAACAAAGTTTATGATGGTGACTGGAAGAAAGGGAAAAGAAGTGGCTTTGGAACTCTAACACATTCAGATGGTAAAGGTGGCTTTACAAAAGAATATTCTGGAGGTTGGAAAAATGATCTCAGACATGTAAGCACTTGATATTTAAATTGAGCCTATTCCCATAAAACAAAAGAATATATTACAAACCAAATGCATTTGCAGGATTTTTAAGCATCTCATTTATCGCAGTTATCTAGAATTTTATTTAGTGAATCAGCTTCATAAGTTAGCGTTATTGACATTTTTACATAGAGAATTAAGTATGTTATTTATAAAAATGTTTATGGGGTAATATTATTTTTAATATAAATAAATGAATTCTTTTGAGCTCACTTTTTTAAGGCGATTAATTAACAATCTCCCATAAAGTATTTAAAAATTCTTAATTCCAATTATGTTATATTTATATTAATGCTGCTCACCTAGGGCTATGGGACAGAATTTTACTCTGATGAAAAGTTTTACGAAGGAGAATGGTATGCTGGTAAAAGATCAGGCTGGGGAAGAATGTATTATGAGGATGGCACAATATATGAAGGGGAGTGGTATGACGATAAGCGGAGTGGACAAGGAATGCTGCGATTAAGTAAGTATATTTCTTATGACCAGTCAGCGGAGCCAGAATTACTTAAAAGCTATGAAGCTACAGCCTAAGGAACCAAAATCCATAGCGGGCCGGAAAAAAACATTTTTTAATGATTAAAAATGTAATCACAAATGGCATTCATTTGAAAATAAAAATAAGTTTTCACTTTAAATGTTTTTCTATGTTCTGACAAAGCCTCAAGGATGTCATAAACTCTAAATCTGACCCTGTGGGTTGAAAAAAAAATCTAATAATCTGTAATAATTACTGGAATACTGTTATCTAAAAGGTTGTTGTTTTTTTTCTGGGTGCAAATTGAGTAGTTCAAAAAAAGTGTGTGTTATTAACATGATAAAAACATATTTAAGGACAGATTTCTAATAAGTCTGCAGTGATATGTATACTTCTTTTTCTAAACAAAATTTCATGAACAATGAATCCAAAACATGATTTTGTTCCAGCCAATGAGAACCGCTATGAAGGATCGTGGAAAGAAGACAAGAAAAATGGAGCAGGGAAATTTTATTACTTGGACTCTGGGCAGGTGTTTGAGGGAGTCTGGAAGGACGACGTACCAAAATGTGGTACTATGAGAGACTTTGGCAGAGAAAATGCACCAGAACCCACACCATATCCAATACCAGAGGTATGCTTACATGACATGATAGATAATTTAGTTCTAATTTGTACTTTGGAAAGGTAAAACTTTCTATGACATTAACTGATCTTCCATTTAGTTTTCATTAGTTTTAATATCATAGCTTACATACGATTAAAACATGCACTTAAAATTCTTACATTTATATGACAGTCGTTAGAAATAAATAATATTTTCTTAAAAACATATAAATAAACAATTAATATTACTTTTAGGAGATAATGTCTTTCAAAATATTGATAGTCAAGTCAAACTGATAATTTTTAATGAACTGTTTGTCAGAGTTGTTTACTGGAAAAACATGTTATAATTACTAACATAATTCATTAACTAATTCTTTCACATAGGAGCATAAATATTAAAATAATTTTTTATCCTGAGAACAATATGTAACTAACTTTTTTTGTGTAACAAACTTGCACTCCAAAATCATGCCCGGTCCAAAGGACAATTACTGAGAAGTATCCAAATTACAAGTCTATTTTTGTTTGTTTCATTTCCAGGTCAAACTGGCGAACCCTGAAGCTGTCATTGCCGACTCAGAGGACCAGTTTTTAAATGATCACGATTAACATGTGATTGTTTAGTTTCCCTCTGAGTGAAAGACTTGTTTGCAATACTGAATATTTTGGACCCCCTTAATAATTACTGGAATGAGATGCTGAATATAACCTTAATGACCTTCCAAGAGCTTTGGTAGAAATTAAGACCAAGTTCTATCCTCTATCTTTATACTTGTCGGTGGCAAAGTTTGGTTTAGAAGACAATTTTCAATCTCAAGCAATCAACAAATCAAAGAAACATGTTGAGTTGTCCAAAATTTAATGGCATATTAAAAAATATACTTTATGAGAGTATTTCTAGTCTTAGCATTTAAGATTCTAACAAATTAATTCACTTTTAGGGGAGACATTTTTACACAAATAATCATATTAAAACCAGTTATTTGATAGTAAAAACACAAAACTATTCCCAATTTTTTTTTGTAGAAAACTTAATAATTATGAGTTAAGGGAACTTACTGGTTGTGAACAAGTTTCTTCTGGCATCTCATCCTGTTTATAATGACAAAATTGAGTCAAGTAATTACAATAAACTTGCAGTGTTATGCTTTGGTGGATTGAATGTTAAAGTCATGTAGAAAAAAAGAACATTATCATTATCTCCTTATTCCATCTTTCATTTTAACCATTCTGGATACAAAATGACGGTTGCATGAATTCCAGACCAATGGCAATGAATCTATTGTAAACTTTGTAAATAAAGTAAACAAATAAAAATATTGTAATAGACTGGTGAGTTGTTTTTTCATACATAATAATTTTGAATGTCTTCAAATAGAGCACAGTAAAGTCTATAGAACAAATTTTTAAAAAAACATTTGAAAATTAAAACAACACAAATATTGAAAAAACTTTAAACAGATTTTCTTATCGCCATAAACCTTTTAATATCATTATGAAAACACTTAACAATAAACCAAATGATTTTTTTTAATGAAATGAAGAATAATACAATAATTTTGTTTAGTTTTTATCAATGCTCAACAATGCCACCACTATTCATGATGGACAACAGATCACATTTAAGCTATATAAAAATGTGTTCCTGTCTTCTTAACAAATGCTTATGGAAATGATTCTAACAGTAATTTAAAAAATGCTTAATTTGTTTCAATACCTGCAATAAAAGTTTCATTTTAAAAATTCATTGTAAGTGAAATACCCTTTAAAAATAATTTTAGACATAACTATCAACAATTGAAGCAAGAAAGCATGAAGTATTCCCTTTACATGTTTTCCTGAAACAATAAATGTACTTTTATGTATTGAAATAAAAATTGTACATCAGGTTTTTATCAGAAATAATGCTGCTCAGCAAGAATTTGTTCCTTTGCGGCCATTTAAAACAATCTCCAACTGGACAAGTCATGAAAGGATATAAATAGCTTTGACAGCTGAAATGTTTTACAAGATTAAGTTGTCTCCCCAAATCCAAGTTGCCAGGATATGGTGAACTTTACTAAAATAGTGTCCTTACAGAAGTTAGACCAAAAAGTTGATGATATGTCAAGCAGGATGAACACTTTCCCCAACTACATTAATGGTGATACAGATCAAATTTGGGTAACTAATACAATAGGTTAAAACATCAACCATTTCTACATCACTGTAACATGGAACACTGGCCTGTTCTCTGGGCTTTAAACGCAAACATTTTCAATGAGTAAATGCAATTTGAAGCCCTAAAACCATTGTAAACTGCAAATTTAAAGAAAATAAAGAGTAAAAATCAATGATCAAATAAAATCTAGACTCTTTCTCTTCTTTAAATAATTAAATTTTTGCTGAAAAAAAATTCATCCCTACTATAGTCATATCAGAATACATGAGATTCCAATAATATCTATATACTCAGAATACATGAGATTCCAATAATATCTATATAAATTTATATATTATTCATACATTGATCGTGGGCCCTTCATAAATAGAAGAAGAAAGCCTATGACTATATATTACATTTTCTGCTGTTGTTTCCAAAAAACAAGAGTCTTTTAAACAAGCAATCAGTACATTTTTTATCACAGGTCATTTTAACACAAAGCTGTGTACATGTGTTTTTTCAGAATCTTTCAGTGTAAGTAGCAATATGTTCACTATTGGGCCAGTCATTTGTTCCTTGTAAATATTTAACAAGGTTTTTGTTGACACAATTTTACAAACCATGCCATAATTTTTTATCTGTGGCATTACACATCACTCAAGAATCCAATAATTTTTTTAAAACATTAAAAGTTTGTTCCAAAATAAATTAATTAAATACATTTGATTTTAAATAGATACAAGCAGAAGTTCCTTAAACACAGTAATTATAATTTATAGTAAAAAAAATTTCTGTAATGTAAAAAAATCTATTTCTTCTCACAAGTGGCTACTTATCAGTTGACAGCTGTTAAAATAAATAAAACAGTATCTTAGGGGCCATCCATATGGCAAGTACGCACTGCGGGGGAAGGTTTTCGATTTTGGAGATTGTGTGTACACCCACCACCCCCCCCCCCTCCCAACAGTCCAAAAATAGCTTATTTTTCAAATCGCAATGTTTTGTAGGAATTATTGACATAATGTTGCCATGAACATGCTAGATCTGCTCAGATGTTAGTAGTAGAGTTGTTACGGTAAGATTTATTTCACTGTATGATGTGTGACTGTATGTTCAATGTGCATGTGACTTACATTTTGTTGGACTGCGCCAGAGGTCCCTAAAATTTTTCTCAACTCCCTGTGTCTGTCAAATTCAGGTTTACACCAGGCTTAAATTCTGACAAGTACACTTTCAAATAACCAATAGATAAACAATACAAAGGGTTGGTTGAAAATAAATATAACACATATGTAGGTCACTGAACGCCATCTACTAACTGCAAACAGTAGTTACTTAAGTGGGTTACTGTTTGCACTACGACCCATAGACGCCACTTTGGATTAAAAGTGGAAATAAAATGATGAAAATTGTGTCATATTGAGTTAGCTTGTCCCCTGTGAAAAAGCCGCAGCAACCAATATGGAAAATGTACACCCCCCCCCCCCACCACCAATGTGGACCAGTAAAAGATGATTTTGGCGCCCCATGATTTTGGCGCCTGCTGCTCTTCGTCTCATTCTCATGGCCTTGCCGAGGGTGGTGCAGAGCATATTCTGGGAGCCAGTGGGCTCGCCCAACTGTCAGCGGTGAAATCCTGTGACACACTATGTTTACTGTGACATCATAATTATATAAAGATAATGTACGTATGGGGGGATGACAGTATGCATGCAACAGCCGGGGGGGTGTTAAAATTTAACTTATGTTGTGTATGTACTGTATGGATGGCCCCTTATATATAATTGAATTCTGTAAAATAAAAAATACCTACTTCTGCAGTATTTAAAAAGTACACCATTATGAAATAACATAGAAAAGTCAACAAGGGAAAAAAGTTTGATAGAAGCTAAGAATCACTCTTGCTTGCTTGGCTCTGTCTGACTTGCACTTGCTTGGCTCTGTCTGACTTGCACTTGCTTGGCTCTGTCTGACTTGCACTTGCTTGGCTCTGTCTGACTTGCACTTGCTTGGCTCTGTCTGACTTGCACTTGCTCAGGGTTAAACATTATAGTGTGAGATAACATTTGACATTTCTAATTGCCAGAAAAACTCCAGCCTCTTGAACGTATACTTGTGTTTGTCAACAGTGCTTAGCTCCAGCCAGCCGCCACAGGCGGTGCTTAGCTTCGGCTGCCACAAGCGGTGCTTAGCTCCAGCCGCCACATGTGGTGCTTAGCACAGCTGCCACATGCGGTGCTTAGCTCCGGCTGCCACATGAACAAAGAAGTCAAAAGAATTATTTGTTGGGCACTTGTTTTTGGTAACTGGTCTCTGCACAGAGGAAAAAATATTCATAGTAGAGCAATATTTTCCCTCATATGTTAGTGAACGTAAAGGGTCATCGTGTTTAGGTGGAACAACTCCCAGAGATATTTTTTAAAAAGATGGAAAGGTAACTGTCAACGGAAGGGGAGTTCTGATCTACCTGTAAATGAATCTGACTTTCCCAGGAGAACCACTCATTCCTATAAAAATCTGGATCCACGTACACCATAGTCAGAAATGTCCACAATAGATAATCCTGTCGTGCATATCTGGATCAGACAAGCATTGTCCTACCTTCATCCAGTACGCAAATGCACCTGTATCATCCATGAGAGGAGGTATTGCTGGTGCTCAGTTTGAAGGGTGTTCCTTGTATTGAGAGGAGGTATTGCTGGTGCTCAGTTTGAAGGGTGTTCCTTGTATTGAGAGGAGGTATTGCTGGTGCTCAGTTTGAAGGGTGTTCCTTGTAGACTCGAAGGGACAAACACAGCACCTTTTTGAGAACATGGGCATTTCAGTATCAAAATACCGGTCGACCAAGGCTTAGCACAGCATCAATTGTTACTGAGCGATGTACCGGTCGACCAAGGCTTAGAACAGCATCAATTGTTACTGAGCGATGCTTGTCAACAGCATCTCATGACAAACTAATTTTGCGGCCGCATGATAGCCAAGCTCACAGGGCCCCATGCAACCTTGTGACTTCCTCTTCCGTTTACACAATATACTGCCATAACTGGGAAATTTTATAACAATAGACAGCATAGCTGTGTTACCTCGTGCTTTCTGATTTCTGGAATTGTTCTACCACTTTTTTTATTTTCTACAACTTTCCTCCTTCACAATCGCTTAATCACTTACGTAGCAGGGAAAATAATGGTCAACTATGAAAACATTTTCCTCTGACAATAGACCCTTAAAAACAACAACTGCCAAAATGTTTTCCATCATATGACCAGAACAGTGGTTCCCAAACATTTAAGTTTGGCGGACCGGTGAAAACGTTTCGAAATTTTACCAGGGACCAGTGCATGATTTATTTTTATACTTTTACTTCTATTAGACAATAAATATTTATGTTAAGCGTTAGGCATACAGACCGGTGAAGGTCCACGGACCGCCATTTGGGGACCACTGACCTAGAACATGTGGCGGCTAGAGTAAGGTACCATTGACAAACACATAACGCGTTTTAGATGAGAGAGTTTCAGTACCCGGTACTGTAAATTTTGGCGCATACTGTAAGTCACCTGTAAGAAACTTTAAAAACACTACACGCTGCGTGAAGCTGTGTTGCCAACAAAGAGCTTAAATACTATTGCAAACATTGTATACAAAAATGCAACAAATTATGTTTTTGGTTTGATTGTTCGCAAGTCATTAATAATAATAATTACCTTAAAGAATAGAATTCGTCAAATGACTCCTGACATCATTTCACTCAGTCCAGTCATCTCTTTCCCACTGATACATTCACTTATTCCAGTTATGTCTTTCCCACTGATACATTCACTTAGTCCACTCATGTCTTTTCCACTGATACATTCACTTAGTCCATTCATGTCTTTTCCACTGATACATTCACTTAGTCCAGTGTCTTTTACACTGATACAAAGTTCATTTAATTTTAAGATGAAAAAAAACAAATAAATTTCAAATAATTGGCTGAAAAAGAGATTTTTTCTGATGTAGACTTCAAAATATATTTGGTTTCACAAACCAGGGATCAGATCTTTGTCATAAAGTATTGAGTTGTTCACACTAGGTTTCATTTTTGATATCCAGCAGACATTAATGAAAGGATATGGACAGATATGGCAAGATGTCAGGTTAAAAAGATTCTTCAACATTAAGTAACAAATAAAATTAAACAAGTTTCTTCCCAGTGCCAAAAATAATAAAGACTGCCCAGCCAAACAAACAAACCATGGCTGTCTGGCTGAAAACTGCGTTCCAGCTTTTTGTAACTTCAAGGATGTGCCCAGCAATGTACACACCAACAAATCCTGCAACACAACGAACACACTTAAAATAAAACTATGAGTACAATAATGGTTGGATAAATGGATATATAAGTTATAAGGGTTGGAAATATGGTTACATAACTTATAACATACAACTCACAGAGTGGGGTCAAACTTGAAAGATCACAAAAGAAAACAAACAAACGTTTTGGCTGGTAGTCTTTATCAGCAAAAAAATATTTTTAAAAAGAGGACAGAGAATAAATAACTGTCTTTAAATTTTTTGTAACTTTTATCATTTGTTAAAATATAGATTTAGATCTGTAGGTGCAAATTAAATGATTCTGGTATTCATCACTGTAAAACTATACTTATAACTGCCTGAAAAACTATACTTTTAACTGCCTGAAAAACTATACTTTTAACTGCTTTTCTAAAAAGCTGAAAAGAATTGGAAATAACAGGTTAAGAAACAAAATAATGAGGTCACGTACCCGGTATAGCACCAGCCATATTCATGATTCCTGGTCAAAGAAAACATTATCACATATTACATTTATTTACACATGCTGGTGAAATGTTTAGTATTATTTATTCATATATTTATATGATGCACACAGCTTATAATGTCATATATTGTGTCACACATTGAAATGCCATCTGGCTCAAAGAATTGTTTCCTGCCAATGCCACAGAACCGAGCGTAGAGGTATTTCCACCTGAGGCAGGAGGATAAATGTGTATGTTGTTTTTAAATTTCTAGTTAAGTATTAAAAACTTTGATTTAGCACCTTTCTCGTTATTCAACTGAGGCAAGTGATTCGTTTGCCTCACCCTTGTCCCAGCCCAGTAGTAAAGCAACTAGTTTTTACTACTATAAATTGTCCACTATTGGTTGTGGATTGCTAGAATGAGAATGCCCAGAATCTAAAGCTTTTTTTTACTCTGTGTGCTTGTTAAGATTAATTAAGAAAATCATTTTATGTCTGTGTCTTGAGTAGTACACTTTTTGAGAAATCTGCTCTTCACATATTGTATGGGACAAGCTTTCACTCACCGAATACTGACCCGGCATGTTTAGGGGCAATGTCCTGTGGGTTGACCATAATACCACTGTTGTGAAAACCACAGCAGGCCACAGCCAAGGCCATGCACATCAAGCAAGCTGAATAGCTGCTGGCGTAGGAGATGATGAACAGGAAGAGAGCTGTCCCACACAAGGCAACTGTCTGGAAAGCAGATACAAATGTTGTAAAATGCACAATGTCTACCTAAGCTGGCAGTGAAACGTATCACATTATGATAAGATTAGATTCTTTTACTGATCAAAATAAATGGGAGCATCTTCTTATTACATGTTCATTTCAGCATGTTACATAAAAACAGTTACGGTAACATACTGATTAAGATAATAATTTTGAAAGAGGATAGTTTTTCAATTGATACAGTTCTTAAGTATGTTTCAAGCACAGCCACCCATTGTGGTATGAATTCTAAAAAAAAAAAAAAAAAAAAAAAAAAAAAAAAAAAAANTAAGCTAAAGGTAAATGATACCCGTTAAATCTTTACATATTGAACTAAGCTAAAGGTAAATGATACCCGTTAAATCTTTAAATTTAGAACTAAGCTAAAGGTAAATGATACCCGTTAAATCTTTACATATTGAACTAAGCTAAAGGTAAATGATACCCGTTAAATCTTTAAATTTAGAACTAAGCTAAAGGTAAATGATACCCGTTAAATCTTTACATATTGAACTAAGCTAAAGGTAAATGATACCCGTTAAATCTTTACATTTGCATCTATAAAGAAATATTTTATTGAATAATAATTTAACAATGTTAATCTATTTAGTTAATGTTTTAACAGGAGACCAAGGAAAATTCAAAATGTTTAATTTGAATAACATCAGCAATTTCGGTTGCTATTTAAAAAGTAATGGAAATTAATCAAAAGAAAAAGAGGGCAATTTGTTTTACTTTTACAAACGGTTCACAGGACGAATGTTTACAGGTGAGTAGACATAGAAACACATCTTCGTATTTTAGCAGAACTGTGAACAAGAACGCATTACCTTTTGTAATCATTTTGTCTGCTATCCAACCACTGCCTATAGAACTTGGTATAGTGACCACCCATGGAACAACGTTGAACACCCAACCCTGTGCAATACAATTCATTATATCAAAATTGCAATTCCCACTGGCCTAATACAGGTTATTTAAAAAATGTGAATTATCAGTATGTTTAAAATAAATGAAAATTCGCAGATTATCGCCAAAATTACAAAAAACCAATAAATAAATGCAGAAGATGTTTCTGAAAACCTTATTTGTTAGTATGACAAATATTTCATTCATGCAGTTGAAAAGCAAATGATTTTATGACAAAAACCAAGAAAGTTTTAAAGGTCATTCCAAGATGGAAAAAGTTAAGCAGGAACAAAACTGTTATTAAAGTGATTTCGGATGGCACTAACCTTTGCTGTTGGGAAATTTTCATGAAAGTAGGTAGGCATCCAAGACAATAAAATAAAGAAGGCATTATTTTCACAAAAGTGACCTATGAGGATGGACCTGAGGGCAAAAGACATAAATGAGAGAATACAAAGGCTTATTGGCTTAATTAACACAGAGTTACAATCTTACATACCATTATAAAGTTTAACGATGTTACGTAACATTATAAGGTTTAACAAATTTAATCTGTTTTAATTTGGCTTGTTAGATGAAAAATACGCAACAAAAGACCTTTTTCATAACAAGAAAAATATGTCAAAGTGTTTAAAAAAATATCATGTTTGTAACAGCTAACACAAGCCAATTTGTTCTTAATATGAAAGATAAGAATCACTAACTGTATAATTTACACATTTAAATCTATCAACAAAATGGATGAGGCAAGACTGTCGATAAGTTAACATAATTACCAAAACGCTGGTTTGGTGAAGAGATGGACCCATGGCACGGAGGCTCTGGAGTCTTTGATCTTACCGCTGTCCAGCAACTGAGCCTCATTTAAAGACACCAGCATTAATTTGTTGCGCTGTCTATTTATCAGGCCGTAGCGCATGACCAGCATCCACATCAAGCCGCAGAGGCCTGGCAGTATTGGTGAGAATGAAATCTCACGGTTAATAAAGAAACTGAATTACTGGTTTTAAGTTTAACTTATAAAAAAATATATTTTTCCATTAGTGTTAATGTAAAGGTTTTCAAAATTTTAGTCAAGTTACAGTAAGACTATAAAAATCCAACACTAATGACTTAAAATGTAATGGTGAAATGAGAATTTGAGTCAAGTTACAGTAAGACTCTAAAGTAATGACTGTGCTATAATCAAAAAGCACTGACCTATGATGTAAAATGGGATCGACCAACCAAAATAATGACTATACTATAATCAAATAGTACTGACCTATTATGTAAAATGGGATGGACCAACCAAAATAATCCAAAAGCACAGAGCCCATACTGCCAGTTAAAAGTGTTCTAAAAAAAATGTCATCAAAATAATTAAAAAAATTTCTATTGCATTTTTTAAAAATTCAAGTTTAACAAAGTTTTGAATCTGCCACTAACAGAATCAATGTCTAGCACTCTAGATGAACCTGCCACTAACAGAATCAATGTCTAGCACTCTAGATGAACCTGCCACTAACAGAATAAATGTCTAGCACTAGTTGAACCTGCCACTGGCAGAATGAATGTCTAGCATTCTGTTTGACCTGCCAATAACCGATTCAATATCTAGCCCTTTAGTTGAACCTGCCACTATAAGATTGAATATCTAAAACTCTAGTTGAACCTGTCGCTAACAGATTCAATGTCTAGCACTCTAGTTGAACCTGTCGCTAACAGATTCAATGTCTAGCACTCTAGTTGAACCTGTTGCTAACAGATTCAATGTCTAACACTCTAGTTTAACTTGCCACTAACAGATTCAATGTCTAGCACTCTAGTTTAACTTGCCGCTAACAGATTCAATGTCTAACACTCTAGTTTAACTTGCCACTAACAGATTCAATGTCTAGCACTCTGGTCACTGGGTAAATGAAATGACGATGAGTTATCAAACTGATTTTTAAAAAAAAGAATTTTACACTATGTGTAGTATATGGATGGTAAACACAAATAATAATTCTCTAGTTATGTATGTATGGCTGTAACACTATGTTCAATAGGGGCACATAATAATAGCGTTAACTATGGATTCTTATAAAGTGTGTTACTTGAAGGCATGTTATGTCAAGTAACTTTATTAGGCTTAGATGTATGGATGATGTGGACAAATATCTACAGCAGCTGGGAATCCTCCAGGCATGGAAAAGTCTGAGTAAAGGGAAGTGGTGAGGCAGGCCAAAGCCCTACATGGGCTGTAGCGCCACATGGATGTGTCAGTATGGATATTCACTGGTAATTGTTGCCCAACGGATATTGTGTTTTATTGTGCATTGTGTATTTAAGAGTTAGTTTAGTTAACAAACTCCCTTCCTTTCTGTAAGTTGGTGAGTATATATATTGTAATTTTGAGTAGTGTCTAGATTGTCTTTGGTGTAAGTCCATTTTGGTTCAGCAGTCATGGAAAGAACCTTATAGTGAATGGTTGTGAATTATTTCTCCTTCATATAGCGAGCTGCATTATATACGTGTTTGATTAAATGTGCACCCTGATAGATATGTTTTCTGGATTAGGGTTACACTGCTAATGGAAAAGGACTTGTGTTCGAATTTGGTGTGACTACGCATATTAAAGAATTAGAGGAAAGAGATTAATCATTTATGGATTTTGACAGGATGAATAACCATTCAAAACAGCTTATATCCACATGACGCCAATCAGGGTCTATAAAACATAACAGGAAAAATTCGAGAAATAATCTCCTCTTGGCTGTGGAGACATTCTGACATGTTAAAATCCATCCAAATGGATGAATCATAACTTTTAAATGAAAAGTCCAACTTTTTGTCAAATTTTGATATTTTGTTTACACAGATCAATTGTAATTGTTTTCAAAAAAGGACTCAAGATGATGAATTTAATAACAATTTATATGTAATTAGGGATAATGCATCATTTCTTTTGCTAGCTGTAGTAATACAGATTCCTGTATTTAAATTCAGGATTTGAGATTAATATTGTACGACTTGACAAAGTTATTGATTTTATCATCTTAGAAAATCTTATTTTTCACAACAGCTGCAGGAAAAAAAAAAAGGGGGGGGGGGGGTGTTAAGTCATGTGAACAGAATTTTTTTTTCCTCTACTTTGTGCGTTACATGGATACACAGTGTTATAGACTGATAACATAGATGGCCAATCTCATTATGCAACATTATTTCATACTGATATTTATTTTACTTATACAAATACTGTTATCTATTTAGAGAGATTTAAATAAAAAGTCAAGCAGGTCTAAAATATGCACTTCTGACCACTTTTTTTGTGTGTAACTTATCCTTTTCTGAGGAGAGGCCAAACTTTCCCCCAATGTAAGTCTTTAAACTAGAGTGCGGCCTACTAACAGAATGTTGCCAAAATATAACTATTTTAAAAAACTGGTATATGTGAACAGCAAATTTAAGGATACACTTATAATCAGGAGTGGCCAATACCACCAATACTCGGAACAGAACGGCAATTATAAATTGTGGCATGTGTTTGACTAGGGGGAGATGACGACGATGGCCATTTCAAGAAGGTAGCACACAACAAGGGGCCAATTAGCTGAATAGATCCTCAACAAAATAATTAGGCATGATTAACATAAGAGTCCCTATCATTTGAACTCTATTCATACCAGCCAAAATCAATATAAACCTACATTAACAGCGTTTGATCATGATAACTTATGGTAGCACAATAATCATTAAAAGATCATGACTCAAGCCTTACAGCAAAACTGAACATCGACTAGTACATAGTAAAGACTGATACTACAAAATGTCCCTTTTAAATAATGGTTGTATGGAATGAATGAATGAAAGAAGGCAAGATGACTTGGTAAAAATGCAAAAAACTCTACATATCTGTTCATGAATGTATGAAAGAAAGATCCACACAGTACAACACGTCTCCTTCTGATCCCCACACTACCATTGGCTTATATACCAGGGTTTTATCCATTCGTAAATAAAAAGAATTCGTTTGGCATAGAGCTATTGGACTGATCTATAGAGCTAATGGAGTAACCTATAGAGCTAATGGAATGATCTATAGAACTAATGGAGTAACCTTTAGAGCTAAAAAATTCCCCATAGAACTAATGGACTAATCTATAGAACTAATGGACTGATCTACTGTTACTAAACAATTTATGACTTGATCAAAATTGAATATTTTAAAGTGAATTTCATGAATAATTTAAATATATTCTCCCCAAAAGGGCATGGAATTGAGATTGGAGGTCAGTTCTAACAGTATGAAACTGTTATGTCAACGCATTCCAAAGATAAACATCTACATGTCTTAAAAATATCTAAAAGTTTGTATCTAAAAGGGTACTATTACCCAAAGTGAGAGCCAGATGCCACAACGCTGTATAAGAATGAACGCTGATGCTCCAAGACTTTTCGAGATATGATGCTGGTCATTCCTGGAAAGTGAAATCCTAATGGCAGAGGGGGGGGGGGGGGGGGAACCAAGAAAGCACACATAAATGGAATACCAGTTTCAATTTCTAGCCCACTGACTAAACTATGCAACAGAAAAACAATTGTCCAAAATAAGAAAAAGGATGACATGTTAAAAACAATCATGTGCTGATTTCTGATAACATTTCCAGATTGTTATGTGATTCTGTTCATTTAAAATAAACAAATTAGCTTCCAATCCATGTTACTGGTCACTTACAATTGATGTCACAATACAAAGTTGAGACTATTTTTAACTGTTTTGTCCACAAAACCAATTTATTGCAATTTTTTTTCCTTTGAAAGGTTTTAACTAATTATACTCCGTACCTTGGGCTATGCCCAGAGCAACACGCACACCTTGGGCTATGCCCAAAGCACGTACACATTGGGCTATGCCCAGAGCAACATGTACCTTGGGCTATGCCCAGAGCAACATGCACACCTTGGGCTATGCCCAAAGCACGTACACATTGGGCTATGCCCAGAGCAACACGTACCTTGGGCTATGCCCAGAGCAACACGCGACAAAACCACAATGTGAAGGGAGGTATGTTTGTCAGTGGAGAGGTATGCCAGCTGAGGTGTCCAAAATGTGATTATGGACCACATGCAAGCCGCAATGGGCAGCACCACTTCTCCTCCAATTCTGTCGCTTAGGTAGCCTCCTAAGAACTGTGTCATTGTGTAACCCCAGAAGAAGGCTGACAAAACAGTTCCCTAGAGAATGTAAGGTAATGTTATTAAAACTGATGCAATATTCTAATACAAGATTTAAAAAGGGCACACACACACAAAAAGCATAAATGATATTCTTCCATTTAAAAATATCCTTATAAAATACTACACTGAGGACAAAGGTATTTATGAAATAAACCTAAATTTACATACCTTACTTAATAGTAAACATGGACAACAGAGTAGCAGGAATTAAAGACAATAAATGCTTTATATTTTTACGACATGTGGTAAACATATGTCCAAATGTGGTGAACATATGTACAACTGACTTTAAGACGACACACAAATTGTACCAAAAAAATTGAAAAAAAAATATTTTACTGATTCTGTTTTGTCCCATCCCATTTCTTGTGACAGGGAGACAACACAGAGGGGCATTAGGGTTCTTGAAGCGTACAGCATTGAGGTCCCGACCAAAAGACCAACAACCCATCGAGATTTCTCACTGCTGTGGAACAGAAATTATTATTTATTTTCCTACCGTACAAATAAGTCATAAATGTGCTGGAAGAAACTGAACGGGAAAGCCCAGGACCGAGATGAATGGAAAACTTCTGCAGACGGCCTGTGCTCCAGTCAGAGTAAAAAGCGTAAGTAATTTTATTATGATTATATTGTCATTTCATTCTTGATTTTGAGTAAATTCATTATTTTAAAAAATTGTCGCTGCTCACACAAAAAAATCTACAGCTACAAAATAAAGCAGTAAAACAACTTATGTTACTAGCTCAATGATTCAATAAAGTTAGTGACAAGCGAGCATCTCGATGTTCACAAATAAAGTCTTTTAGTGACAAAGGAGCATCTTGATATTGACAAATAAATACTTTTACTGACATATGAACATCTTGATGTTGAGAAAATAGTCTATATTTTTTTGAGTATTATTAAACATACATCTGACCTCCATTAATCAAGGATTATTACAAATGCATCTAACCACACATAATCAAGGATTTATTTACAAATGCCTCTGACATACCATAGTTTAAAATAAAAATTCACTTTAATACCTTCACTTCCTGGTTCCTAAACTACTTAATCATCCAATTAAAATATTTCAATATTTTATTAAGTTTGCGATGTGCATATCTACCATTAAAGTTAAAGGATTACCAAATTAATATAAAATCACTACATTAGTGCAGTGCAAGATTTAACTTCTTGGCCACCCCAGGTACTGAATGGGCCCATCTTGCCGTAAGACAGGAAACACTCTAAGCTTAAATTATCATGGGAAAAGATGTATTATGACTTGCAATGTTATGTAAAAAGGCAAAATATACTCACTTTGTCCAAAATTTCCCATCAAGATTCAGTATTGGTTTGACTTTTTTCATAGAGATGTCCACTTTGCATTCTTTAAAGTAGCTGTCACCGGTGGTACCAAGATGTGCCATTGCATTTGTGCTGCAGTTAAATAAAGATGTGAACAAACAATGAATTCATCTGTAAGGAAAATTTTAATTCACTGAAATTCACATCACTATATATGATGTCACCTATCAGGGAAGGGGGGGGGGGGGATTGTCACATATTAGTGACAATGTGTGAGGAATGGGTTTAAATTTGTTTGAACTTTGAAACTATAGGGAGTAGGAGTGCAAAAAATATTCACTGAAATTCACATCACTATATATGATGTCACCTATCAGGGAAGGGGGGGGGGGGTTTGTCACATATTAGTGACAATGTGTGATGAATGTGTCTAAAATTGTTTGCACTTTGAAACTATAGGGAGTAGGAGTGCCAAAAAATAAATTGAGGTCCAAGCTGGGCTCTGACCCTTGTTGCATTGGTCTGGGACAATCAAGCTATAGGACAGCAAGGACAGCATGAAGGGTAAGAGTCAAAGGTGCAATGACATTGAGTGTTGAGAAAAATTATGTCAAATTAGTAAAAGTAAGGAGTTTGGGAATACGTTAAGTGGGATGGAAAGAATAATAGTTGACGGGAAAAATGATCGTAGTAAATAATTTTTTGGAAAATATGCAGTAATTCAATATCTGTGGGACAGGATGACAGTCAACACAATAGTGGACAGAAGTTAATACAGAATTGGATAGAGTGAACAGAAGGACAATTAAATATACAATCTGAAAGCTGCCAAGTCATTTTTTCAATGAATTTTTGGTAAATTTACGCTTTCCAGGTCCCTTTTTTCATGTGCTTTTGCACTACTTTTTTTAAATGGCCGCCATCTTTGTTGCCATGACGTCTCCTGTCCTGGCAAAAAAGTTTGAGGCCATGTCAAAAACAAAACAAAGTAGTGCAAAAAGACGGGGGTGAAAATGGGGAGGGGAAAGAGTGTTTTAGATACTTATCGACGCAAATGTAAAATGAGGGAAATAATATCACTCTGCCTAACCTGAAGCTAATTGTTGAGAGTGCTAAAGTCAGCAGTATCCCTAACTCAAACATAATCTTTGAATTAAAATTCAGTCCCTTTAACTAAAGCATAAACTTCAAGCATTAATTTAGCCCCCCCCCCCCCCTCCCCACTTCCTCTTTCTTAAGTGTAAATCTAAATCTATAATCTTTGACCTAATATGAACGTTAAAACCATATGCCGATATGCCATGTGTTTTTGTACTACAGTGACACATCGTAAATAAGAAAAATCATAAATTTGAATTAAATAATTAAAATTATTTTTAAAATTTTCAAAATAATGAAAACCCAACTTATTACAGTTTCATCAAATACACTTTTACACACTCACACTTTATTATCATTTATTACCAGCCTCATTTTAAAATATAATGAGCTATGAAATATTACTAATTAATTTAAAAAGCCATTAATTAATCACAAACATCTCATGGCCCAATGACCTATTGATTATTAATAATATAAAAAAAGGAGAATAGTTAACTCTAGTAAAACTAAACAATGCCGCACAATGCCGGAGTTCACTCATCTACAGAAATACTGGAGACATGTAAAAATGTAAGTATAAGTGCCATAAGTTGACAGAATTTTAAAAATTTATGTTAAATATTTTCCAATCAATTTGTTTTTGTTAATTAGAATTTTACGAAAATTGGCACAGCACATGATTTTGAAATGGTAAAAAAAATTAAAATGGGACTTGATTTAAAATATTAATGTTTTAATTATAAAGGCATTTTTTTTTTTTTTTTTTTTTTTTGCAGTTTTGTGAAGAGTTGGTCTAATTTTCTAATTTTTTTTGATGCCAATTTGGTGGGGGTTTGCAAATATATTAAATAATCAAATATATACCTTATATTAATAATTAAATATTTTTTTTTTTTTTTTTTTTTTTTTTTGCAGTTTTGTGAAGAGTTGGTCTAATTTTCTAATTTTTTGTGATGCCAATTTGGTGGGGGTTTGCAAATATATTAAATAATCAAATATATACCTTATATTAATAATTAAATATTACTAAACTTACACTTAAGACTGTCTTCAATTCTTTGTCTGAAGTCAATACACTCTTCAAGTCTACACTACTACTACACAGTGTCAGGAGTCAGTGTAAAACAATCATCACAGTGCCACACTGCACTGACACTAAGACAGTGACTGCTGAGTAACAACTGCTAGGGTACAGGCCTAATATGACCACTGTTTTAGTTTTTAATTTACAGATAAAATTCTACAGACTTCACTATGATCCATTCTACTCTACATTCTTTAAAATTCTTATTCATTCAAATCAAAAGTGACAAAAGATTCAAAAATATTAGTATTATTTATTTATTATTATTATTAAGTTACCCTTTATTATGGCTTATGGTCATATTGAAATCGTTCATTATTTTAAAATATTAAAGTAATTAAGCCTAGGCAACATATTTGGTACCACATTTTATTTTATATTAATTATCACTTATAGGAAGGCTGGAAATTAAATATATTTGATTAGTAGTGCCAAGTGCGTGAAGTATGAACCCTTAAGTTTGCTGTGGAAAGTGAGTCTTCCCAACTGGTCATCCTATTTACCGAACATGTACCTAAAAGCTTTGTGATTATCACACAATAGTCATAGGACTCAATCGTCCTTGCAGGACTCAGTCGACCTCAAACTCAAAGCGGTCTGTTTATGAGAATCAAGATCCAGGGCTCAACTTTGAAACCACTACTTACTTTGCTAGTGTTAGGCGTATACAGTGGCGCCAAGATTATCATTAAGAGCTGGTACAAGACAAAAAAAAATGGGCATGAAATTTATATCCAAAGTTTTTATTTTTATAATTTTTGTTTTGCAAAATTAAATAATAAAATGTCCCTTCATGGGGCCCCTTTGAGCTCCATGTACCCCGGAACAATGTAGGCCTACCGGCTGCACATCCTCTCCTCAGGCCTGGACGTAGATCAAGGCTTTCGTGTGGGGATCTCTCCGGGATCAACCGCAGCTTTTCTCTGTTTTGTGATAAATGGTGCATTTTCTCGCGTTCTTAGACTGCCAACATAAAGTTAGGTCCGCTTTACCCACTGGTATTGTCAATGAATGCAAGGTTCCACTTCTTCCACCCGACGGTTTCTTTCCACCGTGGTTAGAATAGTTTTGTCTCACCTAATGTCGAGTGGTTGACGGGATTTCCACAGTAGCCCTAATGGGCGCCCGCAGCAATTTATCCAGGGGGGTCGGGGGGTCAACAAATTCGGACTCTTACTTGTAATATAATATATCATATATATATATATATATATATATATA